GGCAGAAATTACTCTTATTTTGCCTTGTTTTTCAACTTATCGAAGGCCTGTTGAACTGAAGTTGGAGTGTGTCATGTCTAACACATATACGCAGCGATATTGATTAAAGGCCTTCGATAACTTGAAAACAAGGCAAAAAAAGAGTAATTTCTGCACTATACTGTGTAAAAAGCCGGTTTTTCCTCTCTTTTTTAAGTTTTTAACGTTGAAAACTCGCTCAGAACCTCTGATGAAACCTTGAAAAGTGATTTCTGTAGGTTTCGCGACGTATTCTATCAATCGGACAGATCAAAAATATTCGGAATCAGCATGCTCGATTACCCGCAGTCAACTGAGTCTCAGCTCAAAAGCGAGGGAACACTCGGTGGCCTTCCCTCGTTAGTGCAGCTCTGGCAGCGGCAGCACCAGATCCAAAAGTAATCAAAGAAAATATACTAGTCAGTATCTTTTACGAGACAGACAATGTGCAACATTGTCTGTCTCGTGAATGAAAATCTTTCTTAATGGGTTTTTAAAAGATATAATTCTTTTTTAATGGTTTCGTTTAGAATTTGCATGTCAGTCGATCTATGTCTTTGGTATGTCCAACGGTTACATCTTCCAAGTCAACTTTCTTGCCCCAATCGCAGAACGCGATCGTTATAAGAGTCGTGAAATAAGACGCGATTTGTCCCTTTAGGACCGTAAAGGTCATGGGGTCTTTTATGCAATACAAGAGAATAAGACGCGATTTTGATCGCGGCTTCGTTTTGCTCTAAGAGTAATCATACGACATTCTCGACTGTTATAGAGCGATCGCGATTCATTCGCTATTGTCGCTTGACGATCATACAGAAATCGCGATGTCATAGCGCGATCATATTTGAGTCGCGGAAAGATCTTATAATAGTCACGATACTCAATTAGTGTTTTTCGTTCTCTTTGTTTGGCGTTTGATCCAGTTATAACAACAAAAAGATTCACAATGCGTACTTTTATCTTATGCTTCTCTTTAGTTTAGTAGTTTTACTTTTAGGTAACGAAAAATGGGATTAATTCGTATAATGATCAATTAAAACTTCGCTGTTTTCCCAAATTTATCGTTCGTTCTGCCGGTACACAGGCTGCGTCACTGAAGAATTTAATAGTGTATGATTTATAAATATTTATAACTCCAACCCTTTATAACTATTTTAACTTTTACTAGAAAATTTAAAATAGTTATAAATAGTTTGAGTTATAATGTTTAATTCGGATTGAGATTTATAAATAAGTGAACATATGCAAATTGCAGCCTTTTTATTCAGTCCATATTTTATAGCCCAGTTTGCAACAGAACTATATTGTTTCTGCATAAAAATACACACCCGACACGAAGAAAAGAAAGGCTATGTTCTTTCAACAAATAGAAGACCCAGAATATCGTCGATGTTGTAATTGTCGTTGTTACCGTGATCATCGGTCGCTTCCAGTGGAGTACTTTCATCATCTTCACCATTGCTCTCTTATTCTGCCAGACCTGGGTTGTTTTCTAAAATGACTTGACATTCATGTACAATATGTTCATACATCAGGATAATTTTGGTGTAATTAAGCTGACTCGAACAATACTTGCAACGGCATTTGCTATGACCGCCTGTTTTGCTTGTCCGTTATCCGTAAAATGCTCCCAAATGTAATCACGATTTCTTCCAAGTTTTGGTGAAACACTGTTGTTATTTCTTGCACTGGTGAATTCTTCTTCGAAGTCACTCATTTTTTATCCTCCAAACTTTTTCAAACACTCGATTAAACGTCTTATACCGGCAAAATGAACTTGTCTTCTTTTTCTTTCTTGTATAAGGCACATGTTATACAATCTTCGTTTCTGTACATTTTCTTTTCTCTCTTCGCATGCTTTATTATACTCATTGTGCAAATTTTTATAAATCAACTCAACTTTTGTTAAAAGCTGTCAACTTTTAACTTTTCAAAATTACTTTAAACTCTTCAGTGGGTTGCGTATTGTAACAACTGTCACTTGGTCCTATTCTTAGCTGAACAAACGATAAATTTGGGAAAACAGTGAAGTTTTAATCGATCATTATACGAATTAACCCCATTTTCCATTACCTAAGAGTAAAACTACTAAATTAAAGAGAAGTATAAGATAAAAGTACCCACTGTTGATCCGCACTGTTATAACTGGATCAAACGTTATCAAGTATGTTTTTCTTTCACACAAAATTTAGAATGAGTTGTTGCATCATGTTTTACTCGGACTTTTCTTCGAGAACGTGATACATCTAACGCAAAATCGTGTTTTAAGATGATGATTAAAGCATTAATGGAAGACGGATGCATTGATTTGAAATGTATTATTATGAAGAACAGTGACCGGAGATGTTTCAACAGATGCGTGGTGCCATAAATTCCCCTATCACTTCAGATCACATACTACTTCTCCATCAGTCTATCTGCGCATCGAGTAGAGATAACGTATTGTTAATTTTTAATTCTATTCTTCGCTATATTCGTTCATACAAACGCTTTGATTGACTTGATGTCTTCTGTATTGTTTGTTCCTATACACTGTCACATGGGCAAAGTCTTCTTTACTTACTCAAATTTCTCTATCTCTCACATCACCATCTCTTATTTTTTTCCTTAACTGTTTTATTGTTGTTCCATTTATGTCAAATAGATCTAGGCATACAATGATTTTATTATTGATTTGCCTGCTTTTTTTTCTTTGCTTTTTTACTGTTGGCGTTAAATAAAGTTTGATTATAAAAAAAGAAGTTCAGTACGAGTCGTATGTCTTTGGAGTAGCTAGTCGAGTAATTGCTTGTACATGTTTCCCGTATTTGTCAACTAAATAAATAAGATGTTTATAAAAGAGATAGATCAGTGAGACCATATTTTACTGATCGCGATATCTGGGAAATGTTCATTGGCCGCTTGTAAAATAATTAAGTTCTTTTTCTTTACTTGTTCTTTCCTTTTCTTTTGTTTGCTTCTTTCTAATCGTTCTTCCAATTTCTTTTTATTAAGAATCTGATCCAGATCCCTAAAATAAATATTTTGTATGTGGACAAATAAAAGAAAGAAGACAATGCTGTTGTATTTTGAACTACACTCACTTGTACGTTAAAGCTTTGACTGTATGTAGTGATAATAGTCTTGTTATATCGTGAAGTTCATGATTCTGTAACTGCATTCCAGTTTTCTTGAAAAGATAAACAAGTCGTAGAACTACATACAATTTATATTAATACTTGTCCTGATGCAAATGAATCACCAAAACAAACTCCTGGTTTCATTACCGTAATGCTTTTTGATATATTTTCATTTTCAATTTTAAACTGTACTTGTTTATCCATAGTACGAAAATATTCCAGTGTGCGCCATTTTTGATCGTCGATATGTTTGATCATTTTTTGAAGAGGTTCAGATTTAGGCACTAAATAAACAGGCATAAACACCAACAAAAAATACAAAACACATACACTTTACCATGTGGCGCCCCATAATAGTCATGTATTTGAAGTTCACACTCATATTTTAATAAAAATCGTCGTTCCATCGCTATATTTTCTGCTAATCGAACAGTTTGACAAAATACACTCAGACCCTAGATGAAAAGATTGTCACGGTTTCTACATCAGATTTGTTTTTTATGTCTATTTACCGATAAATCTAACATAGATAGCGCACTTTTTTTTGTGTTGTGAATCGCTTCAACAATGTCATGTATACCATGCGATGTTAATGGATTAAAACCAATCTATGTGTGTACAAGAGAGAGAGAGAGGTACTAGACATCATCATTCATCTAAATCATTTACGAGCAATGATTCCAATGCGGTGTTTTCAGCTATTCCTTGTGCAATTACTTTCGTCGCTTTCCAGTCAATATTATTGTGACTTATATTTAAATATGTCAATGTTTCATTTATTTTGAAAATTCGACGTAAAACAATCGAGCCATCGTAACCAAGTCCATTCCAAGATAAATCAAGATCTTTGATACAAGTATTAACCTTTAAAAGAGGACAGAATGTGACAAAAAATTTAGATAAACGCTTCCGACTTACTTCAAATGCTCTTAATAATGTAACAGCTGCTCGACCTCTAATTTGATTCCAACTTAAATTTAACTTGATAAGAGTATAGTTGTTGGCTAAACATGTTGAAGACATTTTTAGTATACCACATTTTGACTGAGCGAAGTTTATACTTAATGATGTTCCGATATTTATGGCTGATTTCGTCTCTAATTTATTTCTACTCAAATTGAGTGCAGAGAGCGTTTTATGCTAAAAGAAACGATAAACAATGATAAAATAATGATTTTTATGTCTTGAATTCATTACACGACAAATCATTCCAAGATACTGCCCAAATTGATCGATAATACCACAACCTAGCGTGTTTAATAGATATAAATTATATATTTTATTACTCTCTTTACTTCTATCTACCTGACAAGGATAAATGATTTAATGATGATAAATATTGTATACTATTTGTTATAGCTATTAGTCCATCTTTTCCAATTATATTATTTGAAATATCAAGTGAAACTAGATGCGTGCATTTTTGCAATGTGATACATAAAACTATTGTTGATCGTGATGTTAAACCAACTGATTGAAGAGTAATACTTTTTAAGTTTATATTTGCCTATTAAACAAGTATAATTGCATATTTTCCTATTATATTTTGTAGGTGTCTTCAATTTACTTCAATAGTGCTGAAAAATGCTCGAAAATCATTAAAACAAAATGTTCGATCTGTAATTGTTATATTATCGTGTTGAAGAACATCACGCATTTGCCGCTCACTGCTAACATCTAACATTTCGCATGAGTATTCATATTTTCTCAGGTAGTCTGTAAAAAAATCAAACGTTTACAATTCTTTTACTAAGTTTACATTCTTCTCCTGTATATTACCGTTTTGTTTTAGAGTTTTGTTTCTTAATAAAACCGGTAAAGCAGTGTCATTGTTGTTGTCAGATTTCTCACAGACAAATGGTATGGTTTGTTGACCAAATGTTTGATCTACTCGATTGTAATGATGTGCGGCTAGCTTTTGGTCAAATGATAACCTGGATACTGTATATCTATCGGCTATTTCTAAAATACTACTGTATAAACTTAAACTTTTTCATTGCTCTGTAACTTTTTCAATTGAACACCTTACCTGTTTCCAAATCTTCCAAATTGGTGTCGATACTGGTTATACTTAAACAATCTTGATCATTCTGTTCTTCTCCTTCCTCATGATACATATTTAGTCCTATTTCCGAAAACATAATCGTAAAAAATTTATGTTTGTTTGCCAGAAAGATGGCTAAAAGACTGTCGTGGCCATCTATTTATGTTATATTTTGCTTTTCACTTAAAATCGTTTAACTTACAAAAAATTTTCAGAGTCTCGAGTTGAAAAATTATGTTGAAACTTATTACATAATTTTAAGTTTCAACAAACGACTATCAGCACCTAGATATCAATGTTGATCAATAAAAGTGATGAGCAGATGTTTCTGGAGAACGCCACCTAGCGCTATTTTCACTGAGCACTTAGAGTTCTAGACAACTATGATGCTTCCACTACCGAAGTACAGTAAAACTCTTATTCAAAAACCGCCTTATAGACGCACATATCTTTCGAAAAACTCATTTGTGTAAAAATGCATGCTTGTTTGATTTTAGAATTAAATTTTAAAACTTTATAGTTTATTACTGTCTAATTTTAAAATATCTCGCTTCAGAGAAAAGATAAGTTTGTTTTTAAAGAGTGATGTTCGCTAACTTACACTAGTGAAAGGCTACAAGAAATATTTGGAAAATCTGTAATAGACATTGAAAACGCTGGACAATGATATTTTTTATCATTTATAAACGTAGCGAGTATCGATGATATTAATTCAGCATTAATAACTACTACTGTTTGTTTGTTAGCTTTCTCAATAGTTTTCTTCTCTTGATCGGTACGCTGGCATCCGTACATTCGGATCCAACTCAGCAAATCCTAGCCCCGGGTGAAGTCTAGAAAGACTAACAAAACTTCTTACCCTTGCTTGTTTGACTACGTAATGTTTTAATACGAATTTTGAAACATATACTTTGTTTTTAAAGTTTAAATGAAAAAGTGAACAACAGTAACAAAACACGTGTTGATAATAGATGAAAAAGTTAAGGAGTGACAAGAGAGAGAACGGAAAAAAGAAGTTTAGGAGATAGTGAAAGAGAACAAAACCTGAATAAGGCGATACGTTGACTAATAGGAAATGTTGCGCAACACCCATCACGCACTTTTTTTGTGATTACTGCTTGGTCGAAAAACTACCGTCGCTAAATCGTAGCACTTGGTGAATGTGGATTAGTGAAGGTTATTTTCTATACCAGGTATGACAAAATACCGAGCAGTAAACCAATTTTTATACTCACCGCTTTGTTTTGCAGCAACCATTACATATAAGCAACACCAAAAATCGAAAAAAGTTGATTTAGTTTCAGATAAAATTGTTTTTTATTAATTTTTACACTCGTTGAAATTTAAATTTCGACTCGAGTCAACCTTTCTTCTACTTAAAGGAGCCATTCTGCGCTTGTAAGCACTCGATAAAAATTAAGAAAAATGAAAGTTCCAACTTAGTTTCGAACTCCTATTCTATGTGTTCAGAATGAAAATACCGCCGGTATTATCGATCTATAACCGACTGGTACCGCGATAACCGTGTGATAATTTGTCGATTAAGCATACCGTATACCCTTCGGTAACATTGTTCGGTTTGTTTTCTCTTTTAAATCCTACTTTTACAACAAATCATCTTTTCTGTGAAGTTCGGTTACAATTCAGATGACGTTATCATACGCCTACTTAAAACCAGCAAAGAAACTACAACCACCACTAGTAGCCGTTAGTTTATGTGACACCTAAAAAAAAGCGCACTTACTCACTTCAACACCAACATACATGAATTTCTATATTAATTTAAAGGGAAATGTTTTTTCTACTTAAACAAGTTACCTGCTCTCTGCTTTGTAGCAATAATAGAACTAGAGTACAGCAATTAACGAGAGTTTTTATTTTCAAATATAATAAAAAGTGTAAAAAGTTTTAATGATGTAACGATACACAGATTTCTTATTTAACTTTTACTTTCTACGCTTTTTATCATGTTTGAAAATAAAAACTCTTATTAATTGCTTGCTGTACTCTAGTCCTATTATCTATCCAAAGTAGAAAGTAGATAGCATGTTTAAGTAGAAAAAAGATTTCTCTTTGAATCAATATAGAAACGTTTTCAATGTCTATTACAGATTTTCCAAATATTTCTTGTAGCTTTTCACTAGTGTAAGTTAGCGAACATCACTCTTTAAAAACAAACTTATCTTTTCTCTGAAGCGAGATATTTTAAAATTAGACAGTAGTAAAATATAAAGTTTTAAAATTTAATTTTAAAATCAAACAAGCATGCATTTTTACACAAATGAATTTTTCGAAAGATATGTGCGTCTATAAGACGATTTTTGAATAAGAGTTTTACTGTACTTCGGTAGTGGAAGCATCACAGTTTTCTAGAACTTCAACTTTCACTCAGGAAACCATAAAACATCAACCGCTCTCACTTTTATTTTGAGATCAAATGCCAGTTATATGTCAAACCATAATTTAGAAGTAAGTACTTACATGGACGAGAAGCCTTGAAGCTGCTTTAGAAATAGAAATTTTTTTTCTAAAAGTTCAAATAACTTCTAACATAGTTTCTGTTGTTTTTTATTTGCACATTTAAAAACCGGTTTCCAGCGCTAACTGGTGAAAAATACAAGTGATCACACTACATGACGAAAAAAGTATACGTTTCACGAAAATCAAAGTGTCACGTTAAAAAACAAATGTACGAAGAAATCGTAAAAAAAAAGACGAATTTCAAGTAGGACATCATTAAAGTGATTGACATAAAAGTTAAACGAATTCGATACCACCTCCAAAAAACGTAAAAATAAGAAAATACATGATGGTACCTCTCGGCTAAAAGCCGCGCATGCCTGCAATTCTTGCGTAAGCCGAAAACGCTTGAACACATCGAACGCCAGTATGCAAAATTAGAATACATATTCCATAAATCCAACAATTCGACACTGTCAGAAAAAGAAAAAACTTTGGACATATATCTAATCCAATAACTCGAAAAACAGTCCATCAGAGCACGCTTACCAGTGAGCGAAAAAAACATATGATAATCTAAATAATTGACACCATAGACAGGTCGTAAATAATTCGAATACAAGTCGACTAATCGTCTCTGGTGAACATCGATATATTAGAAAAACAAAGGCGCTAACCAGTTGAAATATGGATAGATAAAAGCAAAAGAAGCGCGACGCCTTAATTTGATCAAGACCATACCTTGTCGGTTGAAAAGATGAGAGACAATTCGGAAAGAAGAAGATTGATTCGACACTGTTCATTAAGCATAGTTACAAAAGCTAATTGAGTCGTAATTACGTATCCTAAGTATGTAAATCTTTTCACAAAACGAATTGATATCTGATTATAAAAAAGGTCGAAAGGTGGTAAATTAGATTGAACATTGATCAGCAGGAGTTCTGTTTTTTTGTGCTTAACTCAATGAGCCATTTTTTAGAGTAAGAATGTATTGCTTCTAGTGTTTTTTGCGCATCTGAACGTAGCAGCTGAATGACCTCCCGATACTTAGTGCCTGATGGAACTGAGAAAAAAGGTCGAGATCGTCGGCGTAAAAGTAGTGCAAATGAGCCGAAAGAATATGAACTAAGTCTGAAATAAATAAAATGAACAAAGTCGGCGATAATACAGACCCCTGAGGCGTATCGCACTCAAGTGGAAATGAAAAAGATCTTAAATTTCCTAAATTAACGTAGCCAGTTCGCCCTTTTAGCCAATTTCGAATCCATAACCAGACACGAGGGTTGACACGGTGCCTCGCTAATTTTACCAGCAAAGCATCGCGTCAAACCCTGTCAAAGGTTGACACAAAGTCTGCGAAGAAAATGAGACCTGGTCTCGACGAGGAGAGGACAACACGGGCCTGCTCGAGAAGGGAAAGAACCCGAGTTTGCAGACGCAGACCCGGTTGAAAGCCGGTCTGAACGTCCGGTATCAAATTCTGGTCCCCCACAAACTCAGACAGACGTCGGTTGAAACCTTTCTCGTACAGCTTGCTGGTCGCATTCAAAATCGATATGGGTCGCAATTCGTCTAAAGAGGGAAACTGACCTTTTTTTGAGAGAAGAAACAACCTTGCCGTTTTGAAACTTTTCGGAAAAGAGTCGGTCAAAAAAGCCGATTAAATAAAGTAACAAATAAGCAAATATATTTAGCCGGCAGCTTTCGCAAAAGAATATTAGAAGTATCCTGAAGATCGAGCACGCGCTTCGGTTTTGAATGATTTAGTTCGTTCTCAATTTGACAATACGTTACCACAAAAGGATCGCCCGGATTTGTCGAAAATTCTCGCAAAATCGATTCTGGCTCTAGTTGCACTTCTTCTTTAGTTTCGCGTAAAATCTGTTCTACCGCTAAATGAAAGTGATTTTTATAATGTTCAGCAAGGCGGTCCAAAATCTGTTTGGATCGGAAATTAGGCCGTTTTCTTGAGTTAGCGCTTTAATTTGAGGAGCATAAGTAGTAAAATGTTTTGCTGTGTACTTCCAGAAAAGCGTAACGTCTCGAGTTGAGCAGTTATCTAAAAAACGAATGTATTGGTTGATCCGATGGTTTTCTATTAAAGAGTTCACATAAGAAGGTTGTTCTTTGTATAAAAAAAACTAGAGATCATCCCTGTTTCGACGTTTATGAAATTTGTTCCTCAGGTTATGCAGTTTTAAAATCTTAGTCCGAATTGTAAGTGGCAGAGAGCGACGATACTTTTGGACTGGAATCATTCGAGAAACACGAACTAATAAAGATCTTAGTAAATTTCAAAACAAATCGCAGAATTCTTCGGCGCTGAACTGATAAAGAAGATGATTTAAATAAGGAAAGATAAATGATAGAAAAATAGTGTAAACAGACCACCGAACGTCTTTAAAGTAATACATAGACCAACAGCAAAAACGCTGGTGTGCAGCACTGGCCAATGATCAGAAGAACCTGATTTCCTGCGAGCAAATTAAGTTCTGCAAGTAAAACCGAAGCCTGAACTTATGCACTAGAAGTAATATTCCACCGTGCGCGTTTGTACCAGATGGAAGCAAAGCGTAAAAAATACTTTTTCAAAGTGCATTCTGTGCAAAACTTTTCGAGACAAGGTGCATGCACATCGCAGCGTATTTTCAAAAAATAGACTCTACGTACATTTTGGTTTCGCCTGTACACTTGTCATTAGAAAGACTGTGTACACCTCAAAACCATTTCACTCTCTCTTTCAAAATAATTGTTCTCTCTTCTCTCCTTTTTTTCGTCCGTATACATCAAATCCTATATAAACAGCCACTTCTAATACATGAAACATCATTCTCTGCATACGAACATTTACTGAAGAAGAAGAATTCGAATTTAAATTCT